GCCAGATAAATAATGAAAATCACAATGATATTGACCAAGTAGCTAATGAAATTTCCAATGATATCGGTCAGATAAATAATGAAAATCGCAATGATATTGGCCAGATAAATAATGAAAATCACAATGATATTGACCAAGTAGCTAATGAAATTTCCAATGATATCGCCCAGGTTTCTAATGAAATTTCCAATGATATCGCTGAGGTTTCTAATGAAAATTGCAATGATATTGCCCAGGTTTCTAATGAAAATCGCAATGATATCAGCCAGATAACTAAAGAAAATCACAAATGATATTGACCAAGTAGCTAATGAAATTTCCAATGATATCGCCCAGGTTTCTAATGAAAATCGCAATGATATTGGCCAGATAAATAATGAAAAGCACAATGATATCGGCCAGATAACTAATCAAAATCGCATAATGAATAGACATGGTAACTGGAATGATTCCTATCATAAAGACTGTGGACTTATACACAGGGAGCCCTAGGCAGTTACCTTATTTATATGATAAAAGTGGTACCCACCAGTCACAGAGCACGCGGCAACCGACTCATGTCTGGTTGAAAAATTTGCCGCTGACATCAAGTCAAGCAGCATGCGAGCGACCTGAGTCGACTCGATGTGGAGGGAATGCAGGGAAGAGATAATAACTTACCTCGAGGTTTGCACCCTGCCTGGGATGTGTACACCATCAAAGACCTTAGCATTCGAAGGGCGACACTGTCCCTCTATGGCAGCAGCAGCCATCTTCTTCTTGGGCGGCCCATTCTTGACATGGGTGGAGTTGTTGGCAGTGGGGGCCTGAGCGAAATTGGCGGCTGGCTCAGCAACTTGTAAGCTGCCGGTGGAAGAGGCGGTCTTCTTCTTAGGCGGCCCATACTTGACTTGGGTTAGCCCAACTTCTTGATTGCGAGTGTCGTTAGCAGCGGGGGCCTGACTGAAAGGTGCAGGTGCACCTGTATCGGCAACTTGAAGGCTGGGGGCGGAATAGGCATGAACGGAAGCACGCCGTCCCTGTTTAGGTGGTGCCACGTCGGGCACATTCTCCTTTGTGGAAATGGTCTGTTGGCCAGGTATTAGAATAGAAGCAAAAAGGAAATATATGTTGTTGGGGATAACTTACCGCAGAGCGAAGACGACGGCTCATGGTTAACAGGTAGGTAACATTGAGGTGTATTAAGTTCGATGGGTGTTTGAAGAGATGATTGTTGCTGAAGAAGATATGAGAAATGTCGAAACGAGAGAGTGCTGGCAAAATAATGACTCACGTAAGCAACTGATGCGTTACAGAAGTGAAGATGGGGTCGAGGAGGACCACATAAACAAATCTTCGGCGTCGAAGCATCCCTGTTTGTGAAAGTGTGGGAGAGATGATCGATGTGACTTGCATGGGTTTGACTGTT